TGCATAGCGAGACCCTGCCTCAAAAAGACACACACACACACATACACACACACACACAAATCAGGAGAAAAGCTGAGCATGTTGTCGCACCCCTATAATTTCAGCACTCGAGGAGGCAGAGACAGGAGGACTGCAAATTCAAGCCCAGCCTAGGAAACTTCAAGACTTAACATCTGGTTAAAAAAAAAAAAAAAAAAAATCCCCCTTCCTCAACCTCCCAGAGTTCTGGGATCTTTCGTGTACTCCCTCATACTCAGTTTGATCTGGCTGAGCTGGATCTCCCCAGCTCACAAGGAGGTGGGGGTGGGACCCCAGAATGCCCTGCTGGTCTCCAGACCGGGGGAAAGGGAAGCAGACTGCACACCTGGGCGCTGAAGCCACTGTAGAAGGCAAACCAGATCTGGCCCACCAGGCTGGCCACCGTCTTGTAGAAGAAGTAGCGCAGGAACTTGCAGATCCGCAGGTAGGACCAGCGCCCGTGCACCAGCAGCAGCCGCTGCAGGAAGCAGAACTGACCGAGCGCGTAGTCGCTGTTCTGCACCGCTTGCATCCCCTCCTGGCCTGCCAGCCCCACGCCGATGTCCGCAGCTGTGGGGAGGGCGCTCCGTGAGCGCGGGCCTCTCGGGTCGGCCCCGCCCCGCCCCACCCCCAGCCACCCACTCTTGATCATGTTGACGTCGTTGGCACCATCCCCGATGGCCAGGGTGACTGCTTTCTGGTATTTCTTGACCAGCGCCACGATTAGGGCCTTCTGCTTGGGTGTCACCCGGCAGCAGATAACCGCTTGGCACCGAGAGGCCAGCTCCACGAAGGCCCGCTCCCGCCGCGCCTCGGGGCTCTCCTGCTTCCGCTTGCCCTTGGACCCGCGTGTGGACAGAGAGGTCCCCAGGCTCCACCACATCATGGAGAACCGCCTGATGGCACTCATCTCTTGCCAGGCCTTGTCCTCCACCTCGCTCTGGATCACAGCCCGGGGCTCTTTGCGCAGGGACACCAGCAGATGGTCCTAGCCCGGGCGGAGAGGAAGGATGGCGTCACATCTTGTCCTCGGTGCCCCCAGGCCAGGGACTCGTCCTGGGACCCCCCTCGGGGTCGGGTCTCTGAGGGTTGCCATCTGAGGTCCCAGCGGTCTCTACTGCTCCCGGACCCCTCCTTCACCCCAGGGACCCCGCCACCTGCTCTGAGCCTGCACTGACCAGGAATTCTCCACTGATGACCATGGCAACCTCGTTCTGCAGCTGGAACCTCAGGCTGCGCTTGGGAGTCTGCACCATTTTGTTCTGTTCCCCGTAGGAGTCCAGGATGATGCTGCGGGTGGGCGGGAAGCCGGGGGCTGGACTCAGCCTGGGCCACCAGCCCTGCCCTCTCCTCCCCGGTCCTCCACATCTCGCTGTGCCTGTTTCCTCTCCGTGCAGGAGCTGAGAGCAGGCTGCTTACTTTACGTCCCGCGCCTCCAGGATGAGCATGTTGTCCGTCAGCAGCTGACACGCAAAGCCGATGTTCACCGCGGTCTCTGCAAACCAGCTGCTCAGTGCCCCAGGAAAACCCTGCCTGCTCACTTTTCCTGGGGCCCCCGCCCACCCCACTATGTCTTGACCAATCACAGCAACGTCTCCCCCCTCCAGACACTGTGATTGGCTCAGGGCTGGGCATGTCACCCAGTCTGGCCAATGAGAGCCAGCCCTGAGACTGTGCCTAGCTGCGGGACACCCCAGGGGGTGAATTTGAGTCCTGGTCAGTGGGCGCTGTTGTGCCTCTCAGTACCACTACACCTTTAGGAACCCTGACAATGTCTAAATTTCTTTTAAAGTTACAAGGGGAAAAAAGTGAATCTCTAGCCCTTTATGAGACAGAATCCTATCAAGCTAAATCGTTAAATTGCCCACACTGGGCTCCAACGGAGGATCCTCCTGCCTCAGCCTCCCAAATGGTGGGATTACAGGCATGTTTAATTGCTCCTGTGTCAACCTGGAGGGCAGTGCTTAACCCAACAAATGGGTCAGATGGATAGTGAAAGACTTGGAGCAGGAGACAGGGCTGGAGGTGCTGTACCTTGCTTGTCTCCGGTGAGCACCCACACTTTCATGTTCCCCTTCTTGAGACTACTGATGGTGTCGGGGACGCCATCCTGGAGCTTGTCCTCGATCGCAGTGACTCCCAGCAGCTGGTAGGGGCGGAAGCGGCAGGAGCTGAGCAGGGATCCCAGCTCCCTGCTCCCAGGTTGGTCCCCCACCCGTCTGCCCACCTGCAGGCCCTGCTCCATGTCGCTGTACACCTGCTGCAGTGCCCGCGCACGGTCCTGTAGCTGCACGGAGGCGGCCTCGTGCCGCGGCTGCCACTGCTGGTAGGTGTGCTCCTCCACCTCCTTGTAGGCCAGGCACAGCGTTCGAAGGGTCTGCTCTGTGAAGGCCTGGGGTGGCAGCCGGCGCTCTCACCGCCCTGCCCGCAAACCAGCCTCCTCCCTCCACACAGGCTCTCCAGGCACCAGCTCCCTCCGAGCTCCAGGCCTTTCCAGGGACAGGAATACCCTCCCTATCCCTCCCGCAGCAAATTGATTTTTATGTTTGTTTTTTGAGACCGGGCCTCAATATGTAGCTCAGGCAGGCGTCTAACTCCCTGCCACCTTGCTGCCTCAGCCTTCTGACTGCGGAGATCACAGGTACGCGCCATCACACCCAGCTCCGGGGCAGATTCTAACTTTCCCGAGCCGCCATCTGGCACCCCTCCCTGTCAGGACGCCCCAGCTCGGGGCGCCTCCCTTACGACTCCCAGAAAGCCCCAGAGCCCATGCCCCCTAAGGATGGCCTGGCGGCTGATGGTCCCCAGTGAAGTGCTGCCCCAGCTCCCCTCCCCTGGAGGGGGTATAATGCATTATGCACTGGGACAACAGGACTCAAGGATAGCCAGAGCATCAGACAGGTTTTGGCTTTCCTTGAGCCTCAGTTTACCCCGTTACGCTGTGGGCTAGGTGCTTGATACCACTTGCTGAGCTCCTGGGCTCTGGATCCTCATTCTGAGAGACCCAAAGCCCAGCTCTCCCCTCCTCCGGGCAAAGTAGGGCAGCCTGGGGACCCCAGCAAAGCCCCTGGGGAGCGCCTGGCTGGGCTCTGACACCTCCAGCCCTAGGATTGAGGCCCAGGCCAGAGGGGAGAGGCTGAGGGGTAGCAGAGCTGACAGGAGACAGAGACGGGGCAAGGGCCAAGCTGCGGAGTCTGGGCTTCACCCCCAGAACAACAGAAAGGCTTTGAGCGGCGGGAGCTGAGCGCCATCCTGGAGCCCAAGTCCAACTGGGAGGCAGGGGTGAGGGGTAGGGGTGGTCCAGGGCCACAGCCCAAGCTGCCCCACCCACAAGGTGTCGTATGCATTGGACACCCTCTCTGGGCAAGTCTGATTTGGAGTTCAGTTCCCGCCCAGTCCGTGTGTGTGTGTGTGTGTGTGTGTGTGTGTGTGTGTGTTGGGTGGGAAGGTGCTTTGAGCAGTGCACAATCTGCTCATCTGTACATGGCTGCCCCAAGCACCTGCAGCTATTCTCTACCCACTCTTTTCCTCTTCCTTTCTCTCTCTGTTCCTGTCCACACACTCACACGCCCACCAGCATTCCCCCAAGCCAGGACTCACAGACAAGATTTTTTCCGTGTTTGCCTCCATCACACCTCTCTTGTACAAGCGCTCAAAGATGACCGTGTCAGCGCCCTTGGTGTACAGGCAGATGGAGCCCTCTGGCGTCCGCACTGTGGGGTCGGGGGAGAGGCCTGGCTGCCCACACACACTCCCCCAGTCCGGCCTCCGTCTGTCCCCAGCCCATGGCAGGGAGCCGCCCTGGCCTCACCCAGCACCGACATGCGCTTGCGATCGCTGTTGAAATCCATGAGGGCCAGGACCTCGTAGACGCGCTCCTCCCCGAGCTCCACCAGCGTGATGCTGTTCTGGGTGCGCGACAGGAACACGTAGCCGAAGTTCCGGGCCGCAGTGACCAGCGCCTCCTCGTCCGGGGAAGCCGCCTGGTACAGGAGCTGGTCTGGGGGGGTTGGGGGCCATGAGGCAGTGGCCGGGTGGATATCCAGCCTGCACCCCGAAAGAGATACCACAGAGATGCAGAGGCAGAGAGACAGAGAGAGGGGAGCGCACTCAGGGCACCTCACAACTGGAAGAGGAAACACGGTCACAGGGGCATCTAGTTTTTTTCTGTACTGGGAACTGAACCCAAGGCCTCTACCCTGAGCTACATACCCAGCCTTTTTTTTCCTATTATTTTATTTACTTTATTTTATTTTTGAGAGAGGGTATTACTGTACAGTTCAGACTGTCTCATTCATGGGTATCCTCCTACCTCAGCCTCCAAAATGCTGATAATTACAGACATGTGCCATGCCTGGCTGTTTCTTTCCTTTTCTTTCTTTCTTTCTTTTGCGGTACTGGGGATCGAACTTACGACCTTGCGCTTGCCAGGCAGGTGCTTATGCCACTGAGTTATATCCCCAGCCCCTCTTTCTTTCTTTTTTGAGAGGTGACCTCCCTAAGTTGCTAAGTTGCCCAAGGTGGGCTGGGACTTGCGACCCATCTGTCCCAGCCTCCCAGAGAGCTTATAAAAATGCTTGGATGATGATCCCTGGGGCCTGTACAACCACCAGGCCCTGAGGAAGAGAGGTGGGCATGTGGGTCCCCATCTATGTGACCTTCCCTCTGGAGGTCACATTCCAAGGGCTCCCAGCTCAGGCCTGCACACCCCGGCGACAGCACACTCCGCTACTCCAGGCCCGGGAGGGTGTGGCCCTGTGGGGTGCAAGGCCAGGGATCCCAAACCCACCCTGAGGGGGAGGGGTGGCGGCGGGGCACTCACTGTCCTTCTCCTGGACCATGACCGTGTGGCAGATGGCCAGCAGGCGCCAGAACTCCTGCACCACCTTGTCCCGCTTGTTCCGCACTATGCCTAGCAGCTCCTCGTTGAAGAACGAGAGCTTCCCGTCCGCAAACTCGTTCCACTGGTACGGATTCTCCTGGGGACGCGGGTGGCAGGGCACAGGCTGACCCATGTGGGTCACTGCCCACCCCCCACCGTCCAGTGTCCTGGGGTTAGCAGCGGGGCTCACCTTGGGGCAGGTCCCATCCTCGTTATCCGGACCTGGGGAAAGACCCCAGCTTCAGGGCTCAGTTCCCACTCAGCTCCCACCGCCCCCTGCCCCCAATCTCAGGCGTCAGATGCTGCCTGGGGCAAGGTGGCTGCCATGTGTGGTTTAGATTTGAGCAGCTCTAGTCTATTGCTCTGCAGGGAGCCCCACCGTAGACGCGGCCGCCAATACAGCACTTCTTGAAGCTCATGACGTTCTGCGTGAGCGTGCCGGTCTTGTCGGAGAACACGTACTGCACCTGGCCCAGGTAGTCGTTGAGGCTGGTGCTGCGGGCCTTGGCGGGCACGTCGTGGGGCTCGTAGTACATCTGCAGGTCCCAGTTGATGAAAGCGCTGTTCCCCAGGTAGATGAACTCGGATCTGCAAGTCACAGCTGTCACACGCACCCGGGGCTGCCAGGACCGCCGCCCCGGCAGGCCAGGGCCGCCGCAGACTCACATGATGAACATGGCCATGGGGACCATGACGCTGAGCAGGATGAAGAAGGCCCAGAAGATGAGGATGGATTCTACAAAGAGCCCTTTGCCATGGCTGATCGACACGTAGTGGTGCTTGTCCTTCATCTCACGCCCCTGGAGCCAGAACCCCAGGCTCAGCAGCAGGGAGACCACCACAGTGGACAGGAAGATCTGCGGACAGACGGATGGATGGGGCAGGCTGCAAGTGTGGGAGGGCCTGGGGGCTCCACAGCGGGGACAACCCCGGGAAGAGGACATCGTGGAGGTAGGTGCCCACCAGCAAGGGTAGGGTCTTCACTGGGCTTCGGTGACTCATTCCTTCCTACTGCACCTTTTTCTTTCTTTTTGCACTGCGATTGAACCCAGGGCCTTCACACTGAGCTCCATCCGCAACTCTTTTCATTTTTTTATTTTGAGACAGAGTCTCATTAAGTTACTAAGTTACCCAGACTGGATGATAGGCGTGCACCATCATACCCAGCGTATAGTAACTTTTAAAAATAATGGAGCCAGCGGCCAGGGATGTAGCTCAGCAGCACAGCGCCTGCCTGGCAAGCGCAAGCCCCTGAGTTCAATTCCCAGTACCAAAAGCAAAAAAAGCAACAAAAATGATGAAGCCAGGAGTGGTGGTGCATGCCTGTAATCCCAGCACTTGGGAGGCTGAGGCTGTGAGTTCAAGGCCAGCCTGAACTACATAGCAAGAGTCTCAAAAAAAAAAAAAAACAAAAGATGAAGACAGTTGGGTGAGAAGTATTGTTAAATTTCAGATGAGATCAAGTAAGCATTTTATTATTTCCTTAAGTGTGAAAAATGTCAGAATTGAAATTTATATTATAAAACTTTTCTTTTTCTTTTTTTTGGTTCTTTTCCGGCACCGGGAATCAAACTCACAACCTTGCGCTTGCCAGGCAGGCACTGTGCCGCTGAGCTAAATCCCCAGCCCTATAAAACTATTTCAAGGACTAGGGATATAGCTCATGGGTACGGCACCTGGCTAGCATGTCCAGCATTCAAGACCCAGGCTTCATCCCCAGTACTGCAGACAAACAAAGCGCTGCTTTTCTTTTTTGAAGAACTAAGGGTGGAGCCCAGGACCTGGGACACGCTAGCTAAGTGCTCTGCCACTGAGCTACTACTCTCCCTCCCTTTTAAATTTAATTTAATCTTGAAACAGGATCTCACCCAGGCTGACCTGCGTTTCTCTTGCTGACCTTGAAATAGAGATCCTTCTGTCTTCCAGACAGCTGGGATTACGCAGATGTACTGTGCCTGGCTCAAAAATAATGTTCTTAAATTGTTACTCGGTGTTGTAATGTGCCTGTGGTCCCAGCCACTTAGGAAGCTGAGGCAGGAGAAAGGCTTGAGTCCAGGGGTTTGAGGCCAGCCTCAGCAACACAATGAAACCACCTCAAAAATTTTTTTTCTTCTGGCTAAAACACTGGTCTATAGGATCAGACTGCACATTGTGTTGAAGAAGGAAACAAACCCGGAAAGTCAACAGCCAGGGCTTCTGTCAGTAGCATGGGGTCCTGCCTCTACCCCTCCCCAGGGCGAGGGCTCCCTTTTGCAGCTCACCAAGACCACCAGTTTGTTCATGAAGAGGTCAATCTTGGTTCTCTTCAAGTGGATATCTCCACAGTTCTTCATGATCTTTGTGTCAAAACCTGTAGGGTTTGCATCTATCTATCCTATATTCACCCATCCACCCATCTGTCCATCCACCCATCCATCCATCCACCCATCCATCCACCCACCCATCCATCCACCCACCCACCCACACATCCATCCATCCATCCACCTACCCACCCATCCATCCATCCATTCACTCATCCATTCATCTACCCATCCATCCATCCATCCATCCATCCATCTACCCAACCACCCACCCATCCATCCACCCATCAGTCTATT